ATAATGAAATTCCCTGATACTACAGCCAGTGCACATACACAGTTGACTGATTTCACTCTAATATTCCTATGACCAGGGCTTGTACAGAAAACCTAGTGCCTGTGCATCTGGGCTGCACTAGCAGACAGCGATGGATTTTATCATTTTTTTAAGCAAAACTTATAGTCCTCTTGGCACAATTCCTCCTGGTTAGTCCAGCAGGATGCCCTAGCTCTTGCCCATGTGAGGCTGCGTTTCAGGCATTATTTCAGATGTCCCATCTGAGCTTATAGGTAGATGTTTTTGGGTGATTGTGTAAGCTAAGCCCACCATGATCTGATCCCTACGTGCTTGCTGAGACTTTTTAGATTATAACATTTTGTTGAATTATAGCATACAAGGGGTCTTCCAAAAGTTAATGGAAAGATATATTATCTTTTAAATTCTGTTTTTCCATGAACTTTTTGAAATATCCTTGTATATGCAGAAAAAAATGTACAAATCATTAGTGTATAGATAAATGAATTTTCACAAAATGACAAGCAACCAGCACACAGATTAAGAAATAGAATGTTACCAGCGTCCACAGGAGCCCGTTGTGTGTCCTCTTTCAGTCACTCCTCCCAGCTCTTGCCCTGTTTTTGCCATGTTGAGCTAATTACAGTCCCCACCTCCACATCCCATCACACCTCACTCTTGCCGTCCTGCCTGCGCACATGCTATCTCCTTGGACTACTGGCCTCACTTCCTTATTGTTCAAAACTCAGGTATCATCTTCCCCTGATGGGCTAGGTCTACTTCCTCTGCACTTTCCTCTTATGTTTTGTAATTGTTTACTGGCAGCTCCCTGAGGACAGAGACTGTCTGAGTCACCAGTCTCCCTGGCACCCCGCATATGCTTGGCATAGAACAAACTCCAGAAATGTTTGATTATTGCCCAATTTGTCTAAAATATTTGAAGTCACCTTTTATTTTTCTTTATCTTCCCTGCCTTGCCCCAAGCACATATCATTCCTCCTCTCTGCCTCCCTAACCCATTCTTCTTGCACCTTCTAGCTTTTTTCAAAACATATTAACCCATTCTGTGCCTCCATCCTCCCCCTCACTTTTGCTCAGGCTGTGTGTGTAATCCATGCACGCCTGTCCCAGCATCCCACACCGAGACTTCCCTACACCAGGCTACAGTCTGTCACACACCAAGTTTCTGCCCCCATATTGCAGGCTTCAGCCACCCAGTAGTTTACTCCACAGAGAGCATCCTCTTTGCCCAGCCCCCTATCACAAGCCCTCAACTGCTATTCTGCAGGCTCTTTTTACTCAAGGCTCAGATTTATTTTGTGCTGTGCCCTATTTCATTACTCTGTGTTTTACACTTCATGAGTTTTTCTTTCTCAAGAACATTGGTTTCCTTTAATATGCTTGCATTTTTAAAGAGATTTTATATGTATCATTGAATGACATTCGTTCATTCATTCATTTATCACATGTACCAGGCACTGTGCTAGATGCTGGAGAGTCAAAGTTAAGAGAAGCTTATTGCCCTTGAGAAACTCACAGACAAATGGGGAGAGAGAAACGTTAACAAATTATCGTAAGACAGTATCAGTATTAAATGAGATGAGGCTTATTAACACAGGGATTAAGAGAAAGGGCACTGGCATCAGCTGTGTGGTTTTGGTTATGTTATTTAACCATTCTGTTTCTGTGCCTTGGTTTCTTCACTTGTAAAGTGAGTAGGATTTGTGATTTTTTTTTTTCCTTTTTGTCTTTTTTACTGACCGGTAACGGGATCGCAACCCTCGGTGTCGCGCCCGCACCACGCTCAGCCAGTGAGCGGGAACCGGTCTCCACATGGGATCCGAACCCTTGGCGGGAGCACCACCACACTCCCAAGCGGCGCACTCTCCAGTGCGCCACCGGGCCCGCCCGGATTTGTGATTTTTAATCTCAATAAAGGTGTTACAAGAAAATGAGAAGAAAAATAGCGCTTTCACAAGGTTGTTGTGATGTTTCCTAAAGGCCTTTTAGAGTCAGGCACTGTTCTTGATGCTGAGGATACAGTGCAGTGTCTAAAACCTAGTAAGTGATTCATAAATGTTAGCTATCAATGTTGTTATTATCTGTGCTTGGGCTCATAGAGGAAGTGACATTTCAACTGGCCATTGACGAATGGGTTTCTATTAGAAGGCGGTCAGGGAAGGATGGCTTAGGCAGAGAGAATAGCCTGAGAACAGACACAGAGAAATGAAAGGGCATGATGTTTTCAGAAACTGGGAATGATCTAATGTAGCTGGAGGACAGGGTATGTGTGGGAAAGTTGTAAGAAATGAAGCTGGAGAAACAAGACCCATATGGTGAAGGGTCTTGTTTGCTGTTGGAGTTTGAACTTAATCCGATAGATGAAATGAAACCGTCAGAAGTCTTTAAAGACAGGTTCTTTGCAATCTAAACTGTGTTTTAGAAGGATTCATTGGTTCTTCTGTGTAAGATGGACTGATTGGGAGGGGGTTGGGGAGACCATTAAGGAGTAGAAAGAAGAGGCTGCTGAAAACTGGTGAGGGATGATGAGAGCAAGAGCTCAAGTGATGAATGCTCGAGGTGAATCTGTGGGGCTTGGCGACTGGTGTAAGGAAGGAATGTGGGAGCCAGAGGGGTGAAGAGTCGCTGCATATCCAACTGGATGTTGATGCCACTTACTGACAGAGAGAATAGCAAGAGGAACCGATTTTTCCTTCCTTAAGACTTCAGAATCCAAGGGAGGAAGACTGCTTCTTCCCATTCCTAGGATCAAGTATTCTAAAACTCACAAGTCTCTTCCACTAGGCTTCACAGCCTTTTCTCCTCTCTTGGGCCTTATAAACACTCAGCTGTTCCAGACAAGCAATTATTGGTCTCAGGCAATTAGGATGGGAGGCAGCTGTGTTTATTTCACTCCTTGGTATCTCCTGGGGGGGAGAGAAAGGGGAAAGTCATGTGCTTGTATTTTCACCACACTTGTAGGAATGGATGGAGTTGGAGCATTAGCCTCCCTCCTCTGGTTACAGACACATGGACCTCTTCTCTCTCTCTCACCCCCAAATTTGTAGAAGAACCACACTGAAGTTCTTTCCAGGGGCTGGCCAGTTAGCTCAGTTGGTTAGAGCATGGTGTTATAACACCAAGGTCAAGAGTTTAGATTCCTGTACCAGCCAGCTGCCCCCCTCAAAAAAGTTATTTCCAGTTGTTTTTTCCCTCTCTTAGCCAGTTTCCTACAAAATGTCATTCAGATTTTTGGCCAAGTCAAGAAATCCTGAACCCACTCTAGCTGTCAGGCTCCAGAACCCTTCCCATGACTGCCACCTTCCAATCTCAGAGTCACCTGGTTCTGGTTTTAGGAGTCTGTGGCTCAACAGGTGTGTGGGGGCCTCTGCTGGGCGTGATCCTGTCCCTGCTCAGTCACGTTTACGAGTACCCTGGATACAGGACAACATGCCTAGCACTAATCAACATGGTGAGACAGCCCCACCCCATGGAATTCTGTTCTTTGTCTTTTACATCCAGCTTCCTCCTTTCTCTTCTTTCCACTTTCTATCAGCCAGAATTGTTCCTACCTTCTGAGTTTCCTTGGTTTGAGGGATGGAACACTCAAGGTTCTTTTCTCTCCACACACTCTTCTATGAAGTTGTCACATCCATAACCCTCCCTCTTCCAAGGTGGCTCTTAGATATGTCAATTATATAGACCACTTTGGTGGGCAAAAGATCCTATGGATCATCTCCTCCTGTTTGCCTCTGGAGCTGGGTTGGGAGAGAGAGAAAGCTCCTTGAACTGAATGGGGTGATTAGTTCCTCCTTTTATGAAACACTTTGAGAGGATGTCTTTTATTTTCAGTAAACAGTTGACCACACACTAATGAGAGTGACCCTGAGTATTGTTATTTTATGGAACATCATTACAAGACATCTGTGGGGCCTTATACCTCAAACCATCAATTGTACCCTACTGATTTTTAAGCCACTTCGAAACCCCTGTTGTAAAATAGGGGTTGTAAAATAGGGCTCTCTAGCCTTAGTTTTAGGGTACACTGTTGTCCTATACCATCTGAAAGGAAATAGCTAATTTTTAAAAAAAGAAATCAGTTTTTTTCTTATGAAAAAACAAAGCATGTTATTTTAGAAAGTTTATAAAATACAATGAAGCAAAAGTGAAAAATCATCTATAATCCCACCACTCAGAGATCACCACTGTGAACTTTGTGGCCTAGGCTTTTAGTCTTTTTTTAAATGTCTGTGAATGTTTTTTGTTTTGTTTTGTTTTGTTTGGCAGCTGGCTTGTGCATATTTTTTTTTATCATATTGCACTTTAAGCAACTGAGCTATCCAGCCAGCTGCATATTTTTTTAAAAAAGAGATCATATTTCTTTTATAACCTACACTTAGTAGGATGTTATAAACATCTTTTCCATGTCATTGCAGATTTTTTTATTACATCATGTATAATGATTCCATAGTAGTCCATTTTATGTAGGAAATGGGGACATTATTAATAAAATTAATATTCTTTAATTTGTAAAAAATAATAAACACATGACTTGAAGATAACACATAAGGAAGGGGTGTTGTAAAGAGTGATGGGGTGTTGAAACATCCAGAGGGATAGGTTTCACAGCTCTGGATATCAAGCAATAATTGTAGCCTCAATAAATTGGTACATTAAATAGGATATGGATGTTAGTAGACTTGATCCTTTTATACGTGTTTGGGCTGAAGTTTTGTAAAATCTTTCAGGATCTGAAAATTTTACAATAAATATGCCTGTGGTGTCTCAGGTTGCTAAAGGTAGATGATTTGGCTTTCTTGATTTCTTTTCTTGAAAGCAAGAAGTTCTCACTCTGTATGAATTTGTATAGCACCTTGTGCACCAGAAAGTACTTGACAGGTGATTACTTGAGCAGTTATGGAAAGTGTCATGTTGATAGGGGCACAGAGTCTAATCCTGAGTGACGAGGCTGGATTATTCCATACATTTATTTCTTTTTACAGGCAGTGCCTTCCTCAGTGCTATTTTTCTTGCCTTAGCAACATACCAGTCTCTGTACCCACTCACCTTGTTTGTCCCAGGACTCCTGTATCTCCTCCAGGTAAGCAATTGCTGGTCAGAAGCCAGCACCCAAGTGACATTTAATACATGGCCTGGTCCCTGCTGGGGAAAGGAAAGGCATGGGTCAGTAAAGACAGTGGAACTGCTTGCTTCAACTTGAAAATACAAAAACAAAGAAACATGACTAACTTTAAACAAAGTGGACCTAATGATCATTAAGTTCTAACTATATATATCATTGCAAATGTATAAGTGCATTTCATTTTATGTATTTGTATTTTGGATCTCTCAACCATCTTGTGTTTTCCTTTTCTCACCTAATGTACATAAATTATTCTGAGCTCATTTTTAAAAACATTTCTTTATAATAACACTTACCTTGTAAAATTCTTATAGAACTTAAATGTACTGGGTGCACCTGATGCAATGCTTAGAACATAGTGGGTGATCAATATGTATTAATTAAAGAATACAAATTGCTGACATTTACTGAGAACATATTACGTCAGGCACCATGCTAAGCACTCTATAGGCATCATCTCATTTCAGCTGCACAAGAACTTTATGGGGTAGGCATATTATTAGCTGCGTATTAGTCTAATATTAGCCATAGTAGACCCATGAATTGAAACTGGAATGTTGGGAGGTTAAGTCACCTACTTAAGGTCACATAGCCAGCAAAATAACACTGCTGAGATATGAACTCAGTCAGTTTGACACAAGAGCCTGCTCTCTAACCCTCTCTCTTTTCTATTCACATAAGAATACACACGTTTTCTCAAGAGCAAGTAACTGCTTGTAGGCCCCACATGGTCCAATTCTGTTCTTAGAAGGGAAACGTTTCTTGAAAGTATACAGGTGGCAGTGCCAGGATTCAGATCCAGAAATGTCTGATTTCAGAGCCTTTGTTATCACAAATACTGATGCTAAAGCTAAGTTTATAAATGGAGGTTCATTTATAAAAATAGGTCATATGCTTGTTATTTTAAGTGACTTCATAATGTATCATCGTGTTGGCATACACAATGACACATGGTTAGCTTGGTTTTTTTCCTATTTGGGGAATTTGAGATGTGTTTTAGTCATCACTAATATAAATAGGGTAGAAATTTGTTTTTCTTTAAGTTATTTCCTTAAGGTATGTTCCTCCAGCTGAATCACTGGACCAAAGGATGTGAAAAGTTTTATAGTTCTTATTATGCAAGACCAAATTGTTCACCAGAAACCTGAGCCAATTTGCAGTGCCACCATCAGTATCTAAAGAGAAGTGACCCACTTACCTCCCATCTGCCAGCACTGGCTTTTCAAGTATGATTTATGATTGCTAGTTCAATGGCTGTGTCACCATACTGTGAAGTTATATATTTTTGTGTTTATTTTATTTTTGCATTCTCGTTGAATGCAAGCATTTTTTCCACATAACAATGTGCTATTTGTATTTTCTTTCCTTCTTCATATTTTCAGTATATTCTTTAGAAAGTTTAAGCACTAAGGTGAATGCATGCAACCAGAATTTTTGTGCAACTGTTAAATAAGTAATATAGAAAAAATATATTTATTCACACTTATGAACTGACCAAAATTTTTAAAATGGTTTGTTAGGCCAATTTCTAAATACTGCTTTATGTAAAATAACTTTTGTTTAAAACTCAGAGAAATTTCCTCCTGACTGCAGCGGACAGTACAACTGACTCATGAGATCAAGGAGCTCCTTTACCAACATTTACTGAGCACCTACAGTGTGCTAGACACTATGCTGGATTCTGCAAATATAAGGCAATTGAAGGTTGCTGAGGAAGAGTGCTCTAAGAACAGTGCTTTGGCAGCAGCCTGTGGAGTGAAAAGGAGTAAGAAGAGCTGAAGTTGGGAGCTAGACACTATGCTGGATTCTGCAAATATAAGGCAATTGAAGGTTGCTGAGGAAGAGTGCTCCAAGAACAGTGCTTTGGCAGCAGCCTGTGGAGTGAAAAGGAGTAAGAAGAGCTGAAGTTGGGAAAGCTTAGATCCTTGTACTAAATCAAGTCAGAGGGGTTGATTGGGGACCCAAACCGGTGTCAGGGGAAATAGAGAGATGAGGGACTGGATGCAGGCGAATTCTAGGAGGTTGAATTGGCTGTGCTTGGCAGCCATCTATAAGTAGGGAACAGGAGTGGGAGGTGATTGAGATGAACGTAGCATGCAAAAATAAAAATCCTAGCCTGTACTATATTTATAAGTGTTTGAGGTGGCCTGAAAGGCATGTAGGACCCTGTGAGTCATGGTAGGGTGTTTGGAAGATTAATCCAGCCACATCTAGGAAACAAATTCACCTGTTTAAATATGAAAGAGGGAACAGAAGAGGAAATTATCTTTTAGGACTGTGTTCGTCCCAGACCATTAAGTGGGCCCTTTAGGCTTGAGTTTCACAGAGATCCATAGACTCCAAGGAGAAGCTAGAACTAATGGGTGGGAGGTCCAAGAAGCTTAGGATAAGGCAGCTGTATGTCTGAATGGATTGTCCCAAGTGAGGTGAGTTCCCTGTGAATCACGGTGTTTAGGCCAGTGGCTGAATGGCTGCTTGCTGGGTACTCCTAGAAAGCTGTGAGCGTCAGCATGGGTGGCTGGACCAGATGATCTTAAATATCCTTTCAAGATGGACATGATAATCACAGGAAATGACACATCTGCTCTCGACTCTGTTTTTCTCAGAGTTTTTTCAAGTCCTCTGTGGGTACACTCTTCCCACTAGGAAAGCTGGTGTGATGTAGTATGTAAGAGCACAGCTTGACTGGGCCATCTTGTTAAGACAAAAAGCAAATCAGACTAAATGAGAACAACACTGGAACCAGCTCAAAGAGGTTCCTACTGGCCAAATTTGGGATATTCTGAGCATCAAAAGAATAGAGACTATAAGTAATTGTAAAACAGTGAATAAATAAAAACCTAGGTATCCATGGTGATGCTCAGAAAAGGGGCAAGGAGAGGAAAAAATGCACATGTCATCATTGGATGTGGCTATTTTACCAATTTCTTACTCTGAAAATTAACAATCAAAAGGAAAGACCTAAACAGTTATCCTGCCTTTTATTTTTAAAATTTATTATTTATTTATTTATTTATTTCGGTGGCTTGCTGGTGCGGGGATCTGAACCCTTGACCTTGGTGTTATCAGCACCACACTCTAACCAAGTAGGCTAACTGGCTAGCTCTAAGCTGCCTTTTAAAAAGGAACCCTAGTTCTTCCCTAGTTAATGAAGGGAAGCTCTTATTTACAGAAGAATGCCAGCTTATAAATGTAGAAGGAACGATAGAATAACAAATCATCAGTGAAATTATTGCATCTGGCAAAGATCATCAGTGGACGTTAAAATCATTAGGTGAATGGTTTTTGGAAAACAGTGTATTTGCATTTGCATGGTGCCAAAGTATTACCCCCCCACTCTCCACCCTCTAAATGATTTGTAATTAGCAGAGGGGAAATTATATCTTTACAAAGGAGTGTTCTGGTAGTCACCACCTTAACCAAGTAATCCAACTCACATGACATAGTGGAACAGCCTGACACAATGTGCTTCCTGGTGTGGTGTGGTGTAGTACAAAGTACACAGTATGACCTCTGAAGTATTCTTACCCAAAAAGTTAACCTTGATTAAGCCTTTAGGTCTGACTTCCAGATTTTAGGAAATAAAAGAACAGAGGAACAAGTTAAATGACACTGTGATGAAACAATAAGACAAACCTGAATATAGGCCAGTCTATGAGGTCTGGTTCCCTTCAAAATGTCAATGTCACGAGAAAGAAAAAGTGGAGGAACTGTTCCAGATTAAAGAGACATAATAACTGAATGGAATGATTGAATTCTGGTTTGGAAAAAAATAGCTGTAAAGGATGTTTTGGGAAAAATTAGAAAATTTTGAAGATAGATTAGATATTAGGTGATGTTAGGGAATTGTTCATTTCTTGGATGTGATAATATTCTGGTATATAGGAGAATGTCCTTATTTTTAGGAACTGCATGTAGAAGTGTTTTGGGAGAAATGTGATGATGTTTACATCTTTTAAATAGTTTTTTCTTTTCTTTTTAAAAAGATGACTGGTAAGGGGATCTCAACCCTTGACTTGGTGTTGTCAGCACCACGCTCACCCAGTGAGCAAACCGGCCATCCCTATATGGGATCCGAACCCGTGGCCTTGGTGTTATCAGCACCGCACTCTCCCGAGTGAGCCACAGGCCGGCCCCTGAAACTGTCTTTAGAAAGCAGTAATATCAATATAAAAATACCATACAGATTTCAGCTTGCCTTTTCCATATCTCTTGGACTTTTTTTTTTTTTTTGCAGTGTAATTGGGGCTATGTTTGAAGGTATCTACATGCTTTGATGGATGGGAAAGGGGCCAGATTAGACCAATGTGTCCATAGCCATGGCAGCAGTCAGTGCCCTTTTTAGAAAACAAAGAATAGCAGGTGCTTATGGGTCATCTCGCCTCCAAGGGAGGCAGATAAGAGAAGAAGAATCTGCTTTGTGGGTCCACTCATAATACTTTGAAGGGAAACCATTCTGTTTCTCCACTCCAACAGACATTTACACTCTGCCATCGCACTGGCTTAGCCCAGGTCTGGATGTTTGGTTTTGCGGTTCCAGGGCTTACCTAAAGAGAGTCCCAAACTTGCTGATTTCATGGTACCCTTAATGACAGTAACTTTTTAAAGGGACTCCTTAAAAGCCAAAAGAGATGCCTAATAGTTCTGTTTATTAAGTAGTTAGGTCTAAATGGCTTAGTAACTATTGATTAATGGCTAACAACTTGGTAGCTATTTGAAAAAACCATACACATAATTTGAAAGAAAAGGAACACTTAAAATTTTATACTTAAGTAATTATAGTTATTTGCTAATGGGATGTGTGCACCTGTTGGGGACTGAACAACTTCTCAAACCTTGGAGTCAGATTAGACACCACCACCCCAATGTTCTATTCCACACTGATTTTTGCATGGCACTTGCTTTTTATTACAGCGACCATTGAAAATCCAGTTTTGCAAATATATGACATCAACAAA